CTGGAAAAAAAAAGGTTAAGAAGCCCTCCACTCTCAACTTATTATTAACCCAAGTAAGTGGGATATAGCATGTTAGGTGGTGGTAAGCGCAAAGAAGAAAAATAATGCCAAAAAGTGGGATAGGAAGTGTCACGGTGGGAGGGAGCACAGTCTGCAGTGTTGGGTTGACACCCTGGAAGGCTGACATTTGAGTAAGGATGTTAAAGGTACAAGAGAGAGCCTGTGGTTATTCTGGGTAGATGGATGAGCAAGGACAAAGGCTCCAGTGGACCCGGCAGGGCCAGAACAGAGGCGGCCAGTGTAGCTGCAGTGAAGTAAGCAAAGGAAAGAGCAGAAAGAATGAGGTCAGAGAGGTTGGGAGTTGGGAGCAAGTCCTGTAGGTCCAATAGGTGACACCAAGGATTTCAGCTTTAACTATGATGGACTCGGAAGGCTTCTGGGAAGTTGAAGAGAGGAGGGATATGACGTGACCTCTAGCTGCAGGGCTAAGAAGACACTGTGTGAAAGCACGGAGAGTGGGAGGGTTTTTGCCAACAGCCAGGAGGAGAGAGGACGAGGGCTTCACCACTGGACCCCGGTGGCTGCAGTGGGGACGCTGAAAAGCGCTAGGATTAGTCATACGTGTTGAAAACAGATCAAATGGGCTTTGGGTTTTGAATATCAACAAGTTAAATGTGGGGTGTAAGGGAAAAAACAGGAGTCAAGGATTACTACAAGGTTTTGGACCTAAGTTAAAAAAAGAGAGAGAGAGCTGTCCATCTCTGAGAAAGGGAAGGTCTGAGAGAAGTTCTGAGAGAAGCAAAATATCCGGAACTGAGCTCAAGCATGTTAAGTTTCAGATGCTTGGGTGACATTTGAGTGAACATGACAAGGCCATGGTAGGACCTACAAATCCAGAGTTCAAGGCAGACACCCATGCAGGAGATGTGAACCTGGGAGTCATCTGCACATAGGGGCTCTGTTTCCTAGGAATATAAATATTGTGTGTTACTGAAAAGAGAAAAAGAGAAGGGGGTTGAGGACTGAGCGTTGGGGCACTGCATTATCTGGAGAAGACAGCAAGACACAGAATTGGCAAAGGAGATGGAAATGAAGTGAGTAGAGAGGACAGAGGAGGCCTTCCTGGGAAGGGCGGTTTCAAAGAGTAAGAATCCATGTGCCAAGTACACTTACCACCCTAGGGACAGGGTGAGAAGGCACAGACAGGGCAGGCTCACTCATGAAGGGGCCCTGGATGACCTGGATGAGCGCAGGTTTTGTGGGGCAAAGGAGGATGAAGGTTTCCTTGAAGGGAATTTAAGAGAGAACAGGACACAGAGACAGCAAGTACAAATGTATCCAAGGGTTTGGTCTGAAGAGTGGGAGAGAAAAGGAGGTAGCGGCTGGATGGGCAGGTAGGGGAAGAAGGACTTTTTCTCTAAGATGGAGGAAATCGCCTAGTGTAGGCCACACTGAATGATTCAGAAGAGAAAGGCAGTCACTGATGATGGGGGAGAGAGAAGGAAGAACTGTGAGAGAAAGTCCTGGAATGAGCAGGCCTTAGCGTAAAGCGTGGGTGGCTCACCCACCCCCAAACAAAATGTTACGCAGAAAGGTTAACAGGAGACATGGTTATTTCACTATGATATGGAATTTAATCCAATTGTAGTCGTCCGTTCCTCAATTGGCTATTATTAAACACAGGTCCGGAGAAAACCATCCTACATTCAATTATGAAAGAGGTCACTTCCCCAGTGAATCCTTTAAAAGACTATTTGGAAGGATCAACCAATTACCTTCATATAATCATTTGTGGCTTGATAAAAATACATTTTAGAAACAACAGGTACTGACCCATTATTTTTAATGGAAAAGATACAGAGCTTCTAATGGTAACAAATAAAAAACCATCAACTATAGTATTTCCAATATATGTTGTGGTAATGTCATTAGCCGAGCCTGTCTTCAAGTACATTTTCAATGGTGTGATAGTATTTATTTACCCTGTGTTATTAGAGAGTGAATAGTCACTAGCCTTCAATTTTCACAACAACTGTAGAAAAAAAAGATTCCATTTTCTACCCAGTCTGGAATTGAAATTGACTTAGCATCTCAGAACTGTCAAAAATTTCTTTTGCGAAAAGGTTTGCTTTACAGGGGACTATAAAGTAGGTGTCATCCTTGACACTTGCATTCTATATTCANAGAAGGTGTGGAGAAAGGAATGGGGAAAATGAGGTATAAAAACAGGCAAGGCGTCAGAGCATGTTGTAGAGGACCGTGTGGCCATCTTGAGAAAAAAGAGAGCAGGAGGTAAGCTAGCCTTTTATCATCACCATCAGCTTTCCAGGTCCAGTATAGACAGGTCTGAGAGTCAGTCATGGGGGAGGAGATGTGGCAGTTGGTAATTTTTAAATCAACAATAAAATTCCTGAGTTCTTAAAAATGATTTTGGGAAGAAAAAGGACTAGATACAGAAAACTACAGAAATCAAATAGGATAGGAACAAAAATGAAGTCAAGTTCAAAAGATACTAATTGCCACATTTCCCAGCTAGCACCAGGGATCTGTAAAGTATTTCTTTACAGCACACAATAGCAATGCCTTCTCACATGAAAAACGTAATAGTAACCCTGGCTCCCACACAGATTTGGGGGCAGCAGAACACACCGGAAGAAGGTTTTTTTTTTTTCAGCAGAGGGGGTAGGAACATGGCCTCAGAGGTGGACCAGTCTTCTGAATCAACAAGTGCATTCAGTGGGGCTTCACCACTCGACCACTGTGTGAGCTTGGTAATGAGCTTACCTCTCCGAACCTTTGTGCTTACTTTCTTCATCCATAAAATGGGGCTAACAGAGCACCTAGCTTAGGGTTATTTATATATAAGGATTAAGTGGGTTACTGAAAAATAACCTTCTTAGCAGGCTGCCCAGGAGCCCTCAGATCCAGTGAATGCTAAACACTAAGTGTGCTACGTGAGGAACGCTCTCCTCCTAGGGAAGTCAAAGCGACAGCAGATGACCCAACAGGATCAGAAACGTGGACTAAGAAGCGATAATGGCCCACCTTATAAATCAGCTGGGAGAGCAGAAATAGAGAAACCTTAATGCAGAAAGCAGGGGTATTTTGCAGTTAGTTTGTGCCAGTTTCGTTCATTTCAAAGTCTCTATTTCTTTGTACGGACCGAGAATGTAAAATTAGTCCTTTGTTTTCTGTTTGTAAGAGCGGGAATCATTACATAATCAAAGAGAGAGAGAAATTATGTTTTCAATAGAGAAGAAATGCTAGTTATGCTGTAAATATTATAGATGTGATGGGTAAAGAAACTGAGGAGGTGAGGTTGTCCCCACCCCCAGTCTAGCCACACATAGGTATCAGGGGTAGACTGGGCCCCAGGTGCTCAGCAGTGTCCTCAGGGCTGGTGGGAAGAATGTGAAAGCTCCCGAGCACCACCTGGCGGCGAGGCAGTCTGTACACTGCCCTGGGGGTGGCCTTCAGAGGGACGAGGGGTTCTACCAGCCCATTCCCTAGGCAGCAGCTGCTCACAGAGCCTGGGAAGAGGAAAGCCAAGGTGCTGACGTCCTTTAAGGACAGAATCTTACACCGTTGCCTGGAGCCTGACATGTGGAGGCGTAGGAAGACACGAATAGGGCAATTTTAACAGGTATTCCTTACCTGAATCTATGATCCCTCAACTATGCAACTCCCAGCCTAAAGGTTGGGGATTGCCCAAAATGGATTTAGAAATCATCTCTTTTGCAAATCTGCTGTAACAAAAAATAATTAAACCATTTATGGTGACTAAGAGCAAAGAACATGGTAGTTTCAACAACAAACTGAAGAATGTGATATAAATCTATGGAACATGACAAGGNCAACGTCCTCCACAACTAGACTGAAGAACAAAAAAAAAGACAGCAACTTGTCTGTTCCCCTTCCCCCAATTTCATAGCGCTGTTCCCATCCCCCAATTACCCAATAAAAATCTTTAAAAAAAAAAAAAAGAAAACTACTGGTAATACATTAGCAGTAAACAGCTTGATCTATTGTGTTCATACAGTAAATTACAATGTAAGAACTAATCACAAACCTACATTTAGATAAATTACTATTTTAAGTGATATGTAAATTTTACATTTTCTCTTTAATTTTGCTAATCTTTACAGATTATTTGCTTTCCTTTTCCAGATAGCCTACACAAAGAACGATGATTATCTTCTTCCAAACAAATAGAAATTTATATTTTTGCCTAACATTTATGCCTATTTTAACCTACTCTCAGCACTGAACTATCAGCTGCTTTCCCATGTGATTACCTTTACAGACAGGTTCTCTCAAGTTTCTTTTTTTAAAAGAAAGTATAACATGAAGCTGCTTATTTCTCTGTAATGTAGCAGTCATTCTGCAATTATGGCATACCTAATTACCATGTTTTTAACACATGCAAATGTAACTCAATTAAAATTCTAATCCATGTTACAAATTAAGCTACTCAATTCTGCAAGGTATCACGTTAGGATTAGGTCACCAAGAAGTTTGGAAAAAATTGGGCACTTATATGTTAATGATTATGGAGAAAATGACTTTAGGTTTCAATTGAAACTCAAAATTCTGTAGCTTATGCCATAAATAAATACTTCTATCTAGTCATCACAAACATGTTATTGTCAAAAGTTGACTTTAAGTCACATGGTCATCAGTCTTTTTCTCCCCCCCCCCCATTGAGAAGTAATGCTACTATTGATCTCTGCTGGTTGCTTATCCAAAATCCATTTCTCCCTTTCTTCTTCCTAATGGAACTCAGATTGGGTTCAGAAATGCAATCTAGCTCCAAGAGGTAAATTCATTATTATATTTACACCAACCTATAGGTGCCTACTCTGTTGATATATTAGTTCAAAGTTATTAGACCCAGAATGGCCCCATCAGCAGAAATGGACATATTCCATGCTTGGGAAGATGGTTCACTTCCTCCTATTGGATATGAACAAGAAAGTAAAATGCCTGAGCCCTAAAATTACCTTCTGGATGAGCTTAACTGTGGACAGTGCAGCTGAAGGGGCAGAAAGATGTTGGGTCTTTGATAACAACTCTAGGCTGTGGAATCAATAACCCCCTGAAACTACCCAACTCTAGAACTCAGTTATGTAAGACGGTGTATTTCCTAATTGTTTGAGCTGGTCTGAATTGGATTTTCTATTAAATGCAGCTGAAAACATCCTAATCAGTACTTGTATAAATCAAACTTTAGAGCAGCTGTGGAATATGTACAGTACTATTTATCACAAGTATAAGATTTAGCAATTAATGTCATTCAAGGCAACTCCGACAGTTTTACTAGAATTAAAGGATTTGTACAGACGTGTTACTAGAATTAAATGAATTGTCCAACAGGTACAGAGGAATACAAAAGAAAAATGATAATATTACTTCTTATTCACCAATAAAAAGTACTCGCCTCTGTGGGCACAGCCCAAAGATGTGTCATTAAATATTTATTGAATGAATGTCAGAATGGTTGAACAAATAGCCAACCATATGAAAAAACCATCCTTAATTGCTTCTTGTTTATAAAGAATTACCCTTGGTATTAGAAATACCTAATGATAGAAACAAATATCCTTGAGTAACTTATAACTTACTTTGGAAGACAAAGGATTAAACATAATAATTGCATACCAGCTCAGTCTTCAGAATGTATCTTCTTAAAACAATACAAAATGAGTAAGTTGAAATAGACATTGGTAATGGAAAATTTACTAGATTTAGCAAAGCCATGGACCACTACCAATTTCTATTGATTAATGTTAAGTAAAATGCAAGGTAATAAAAATAAGTGAGGACTGGACTCCCAGGTATTGCAAAGTTCTGTGTAGAATTTGAGAACTTTGGGGAAATAAATATTATTTTTGTTTCTAATTTTAATTGAATATTTTGACTTTGGAAAAGGAAGAAACATGTAGGAAATGAACAGCTAGTGATACAGATGGTGTCGAATAACAGGATCTGCTTTTCTGGACTCTGACTTTTAACATTAGAACGATGAGCTCTTGGCAATGGAAAAATTTAGCTTTTTTGGAACACTTAAAATAGAGAAACGACACATACAAAGCTGGCATGAAACATGGAGAACTAAGAAGCTTTTATACTAAATGTGGGGTGGGAATAATAACTTATTGATGAAGAACCAAGACTATGACCAGAAAGGAGAAAAAGATGTGAAAGAATCAGGTGACATCTATCAGTGGTATTATAGAAGAAGTTTCAGCAACTGGAGGAAAGTTCAAAAGATTCCTAAGACACTCTATTATAAAAGTACATTTACTTCACTAAAAACAAACAAACAAACTTTCAGTTTATGTTGGGGTAAGGAGTAGGAGGACAAAAATAAGATCATTCTTCCAAAGAATTTAACACTTATTACCAAAAAACCATTCTTCACTTCTACTCTGCATTCTAAACTTCTCTTTAATGGTCCCTCCAAATGAAACAGGTAAAATACTCATGAAGATACTGGTAGAATGTCACCTCCATTATCCCACTCTTCCCAAGAGAATGCTGCGGAACAAGTACAATGAGAGTCAGACCCTCAATTTTCTGGACCCTTGCAGATTTGCTTTTGGTGTCCAATTGATTTTTATATTCAAATAATGGTCAGCAGTGGCTACTGTTTTTAGTTCATGAGGACAATGTATATTGAAGTCGAAGGCTTTCCTTTCAACAGACCAAACGGACTGGTTATGTAAATCAAAATGATAGCACTCATAACCCTACTGTTGAAATTGCCACTAAAATTTTATTTTAATCAATGAGTGAGCTTGGTGTCAAGTGTATATTTTAACAATATACAAAATATTATTGATAGTGTCAAGGAAAGATGTTCCAGGCCTCTGCTGTGACTCTTTTAGGTGGAAAAACCAAACCAAAATAAATAACAACAAAAACATGCAAATGTGATAAAATAGTGAATGGCTAGCAATGCACTATTTTGCTATTCATTGATAATTCAAAATAACTGGCCCCCAAAAGCCCATGTTCCTAACTCCCATTCTACACAATCCATATTGGGGCACAAACAAAAATTCCTGACGTTAAAAAAAAAAATACTTTATACCAAGAAGTCTCAGGCACATTGTATGTAATCAATTAGGGCTTTAGGCAGCCAAGGGAAGACCAGATGGCTCAGAAAAATATTTCATGAAGAAGGAAGAAGACAGTCTCATGTACACATGCAAGAGTGGGGGGCGTTCAGGGGGCAGTAGGAAGACAGACCTCACCAAGAACGCACGGTCGGGGTGAGGAAGCTTGGGCGACCGTGAGAATGAGAACACGATCATGGAGCTTCCGCAGCAACTCTAGCGACGGTAAGACCAGTTAGAAGGTCCTAACAATACCCTCAGATATTAAATAATGAGGATTGGGCTAGATGGACTAGAAGGAGGAAAATTAGATTTCAGGGGGGAGAGGGGGGATTACGAAAGCTTGGTAATGGCGTGATTACACAGTGAGCTGAGGATTCTAAGTTTCTGAGCCTGGAAGTGCTAATGAGAAAACTCCCATCATCATCCGTCTTTGTGTGTGAGAGGCTAAGCGTGTAAATGCACTTTCTTCCTGTCCTCTGGCATTGCCAAGCATCATTACTCACCTGGATTATTGCATTACTATCACGTAACTGATTTTCTTACCACCAACACTGCTATTTACATCCCATCCTTGATAACCCATCCTGTATCCCAGAGCCCCCAACAATCATATTATTTTACTTGAAATTCCTCAAATGCTCTTTAAGGTCCTTAGTGTAAAATACAAATAATTTAAACTAGGCTGTCAGTGATCTGTTCTCTGCTTAGGTCTCATTCCTCACTACACTTTCACCAGCATTCTACACATCAACCTAACGGAAGTATGGCAGTCCAGAAACGGTCCACATCCCATGTGTTTCCTATGTTCCCTATGCACGCCACTGAAGACCACTCAGGTGATGGCACCCATCTCAGTCAGCACCTCTTCCTGGAAGCCTTCGCCCCCTACCTCCCTCCCCACTCTGATTCCACACAGGCTGGGTGGGGACCTTAACTACGCTGCTTCTTAGTGTCAGGTTAGCCACTGGGTTGAACCACCCCCTGACCTCTCAGGAACTTACAGCCCCAATATCAGGTTTTAGGTGCTACGCGTTAATACATGCCTAAATAATTTAAAGTAGTTTTAGTGTAATAAGCTTTTTCATTTGGAAGTTTAATGTTCTAGAAAAGTCACAGGACTGGGAATCACAAGGTATGCATTCTATGATTCAGTTCATAAGTATGATCTTGGTCAACTATTTAAATGCTTTTTCTTAAGAAAATGGTTAAAATGGGGCATTTATAATTCAAATACTTCATATGTGACTGGTCATTGTACTCTGGGCTTCACTTTTCATGTACCAAAAGGGATGTACGGAGTAGCTCCAGCTACCTTACATGCTCTCACACACTGCATTCAGAAACTTCCTAAATTCATCAAAGCTCCTTTTTTTTTTAAACTGCAGGTGATAGTTAAGTATACAAATTGGTATAAAAGGATAGGATAAGGTACACATATTCCCAGCATTTCAGAAAAAAAAATATTTTTATAGATCAATAGCCAAGTATTCATCAAAATAGTAACCAAATAGGGAATCTTTTACAAAGTTCTTTGATGTTGAAACCCATGTTCTGAATTCTTTCACACATGTACTGTAATCTAAGGGTTCCACATAAGATAAATTTAGACTTAGATTTTTTACTCAAATAGGTAGTAACAATAGATGGCTAGAAGTGTGTGGGATGCTGAGAGTAGAAAATTTGAGATATTAAATGCAATATGCTCTTTTGTAGCTAATAAAATAATCATTACCCTGGAAGCTCTCATATTAGCTGATTTACTAATGTAAATTTAGTTTCTTCCAATCTCACACTGCTAACCTAAGCTATGCATATTGTACAGAATGCTTTTTTCTTATCTCCTAATGAAAGTACTAGATGAGTAAGAACGTAGCCAAGCTACTCAAAAGCAACTTGCTTCTGTTTTCAAGGCATACGGGTTTTCACATTTAAAATTCGAAATTAGATGTATCTCAAAATTAATAGGTACAATTAATAGGACAGTATTTGGTTTTGCTGTGTTTCACTTCCGTGACCCCAACCAAACACTGCTACTGAACTGATAGTAAGGCTTACAGTTTAGCAACTATTGAGGAAAAAAAAAAATGGAACTATATATTTTTCAAAAAGAAACAAAGAGACCTTATTGCATGCATTTTCTTGGTAGCAACAAAAACTGATTTATTATGGGGGATGTAAAAGCCACTTGCTGAGAGCCAGGCAGGGCATGCAATTTGCATAGAAGAGGGAGCAGATTGTAGATGCCTTGACCTGTCAAACACAGGTAGGGCCTCGGAGATAATGGGTCCCAGAGTACAAAGCTCCATCTTGATGCAGACAGACACACAACATGGAGAGGCCAGATGGATTAAATGAGAGACAAAAACGCTGGCTTCTGCCATCTCCACAGGAAGAACGTAAGTGTTACAGAAGATGACAGATACCAGATACCACATGGATCCTGCCTCCATCTCCTGGCCCCCAGTGCTGTGCCAATGCCATGATTTCAGCACTGCTGAGAAGAGGAAAGCCTGTTCAGAGCCATGAAATAGAGCCACTGGGGAGGTGCTCAACCCAAGTGACAAGAGCAATCAACTGTGCCCATGCCTAAGTGTCTTACTTGTAAGGAGGGAAAGGGCTCAGTGAGAGGAAAAAACAGGTAACTGTGTCCTCGCCACCAGACTTTGGCCCCCTCTCCACACAGCTTTTCAACAATAGCCCCCTCCATGTAACAGCTCTACACGATATAAGCTAATCAACACTTTTCACTGTTAGAACTCCTAAGTCCTTTCTCTTCAGAGGGGTAGGAGATTGGGCGAGGGAGGTTTCGCTTTGTGAGGTCTAACTATTACATTGTTTTGTACACCTGAAACTAATCTAAAAATAATAAAAAATAAAAATAAATAAAACAAACAAAAACAATAGCCTCCTCCCCATCCCAGCTGCTAGGGTACACTGACTACATCCTTACAGGATGTCCTGGATAACAAAAAAAAAGGTCTGTTCAGACAGTGGTCCTCTTTTCAGAGCAATGTTCCATAGTGAGCCATCATTTTCACTGCAACAGGCGGCGGTGGCTGAGTCACACCACACAGCACAAGATAGTGCCTCTGCCACAGAGTCCCACAGACCACAGACAATGGCAGGACGCTGGACACACCACAAGGGGCGGATTCAGGAGCACAGCCAGAAACAAGATCGCAGAGTCTGGGAAGACGCAGTGACAGGAAGTGTGCGGACCATGTCACGAAAACCCATAAGCCAGACTCTGAAAAAGACAGCGTTGAGGAAACTAAAGGAAGAACCAACTGAGCCACCTTCTTTCTCATGGCTGGAGCCAAAAAACACTTTTATTGTCTCCAGTTACATGTAATGGTGATAGTCTAATGATCACCAGCAGGAACACAAGCCTTGACAGATATAGACAGATAAACAGATACATCGATATATCTCTATATATCTCTACCTATGATCAATTGAGATATTTTGAAAAACAAAGAGTTTGCTGAGGTATGGAGATCTAGTATATGCAGGTCCAGTGTGGGACGCAAAAAGGAAGCACAAAATGTCACAACCACCCCATTTCCTGCACACTAAAAGTGTCTCTCTCGCTGTTTCACCCTCTCTCTCCCCTCCACTCTCTCCTTCCCCTTCAGGCACACAATGGTCCTTGTCATGCAGGAGTTCACTGGTTGATATAAATTGAGTCCTGTGATTTGCCAAGCCCTGGGCTTGGTTTTGCAGGAATAAAACAGACATGGCGGTGTCTTCTTTCATGGACCTTACAGAGGTGAGAGAGGGCGGTGGGTAGGAATTAGGTAGATAACTGACCAGCTGTACAAAGAATCATGGAATGTGAAAACTAGAAGGGGCCTTAGAAACCATCTACACTGGAGCTCTTCAAATGTTTTATGAAAAACAGCAAATTTTAAAAATTAAAATTTACAAAGAATCACAACATGCTAAAAGTGGTTTTAAAACCCACAAGTGCTAAGGCGACAGCAGGGGGGAGAGGGAAGGTAGTGGCCTTTGCAGTGGCCACTTGTTCGGCCCCCCATTCGCTTCCTGATTATCCCCGAACCACTGAGGCGCCCCTCCTGACCAGTCATCACCACACACAATCTGAACATCAATGACTTAGTTGTCCAAATCTTCACTTTTACAAATGAGGACATTAAAGCTCAAGGAATTTAAGTGGTTTGACCAAAATCTCACAGTGGTTAGAAGAATATGGACTAGGATGCAACTCGTCTAAATTCCAATTCTGTGTTTGCTGCACTCTATTAATTCAATTTCAACAAACTGCAAAAATTTTAAATGCATAATAGTTGCCTTCCTTTGCCATAGCCAAAGTCAGAAGACTGGTCTGAAAAAATAAAATCAAATCAGGACTTTGGAAACCATAGCAGCACTTTGTGGTTGTAGGTGCTTGTGTCACAAACGTCATTGCCAGATCCTGTCCACAACATTACTTTTGGTTCAGAAATCGCAATTTGTCTATTTAGTTGTTTTGTTTTTATCTTAATAGTTGAATGAGTAAGTTTTTTAACATAATATACTTAAATCTGTTATTTCCAATTAAAAAAGGAAACTAAGTTTATATAGGGACACATTTAGATGTCCACATCTAAACTGGGAAACTCTGGAGGCTGTGCCTACGGAATTAAGAACATGCCCTTTATTGATAAGGATTACATCCCCTGTTGCATTTGTAATGAGTATCATATGTGAAAAAACTGCATTTCATAAGGGAATTTAAATATTTTACAAGAACAAGAAAAAGGTTCAGAAGCATCATAAATTATAGATGCTTACAAAAACAAATACTGAGGGCCCAAGCACTCTCTCTCTCTCTCTTATTAAATACACACTCAGGATAGACAGGGGCAACACCTGTGAGTGACAGGGCTCCTACCCCAGAAGGGTGCACAAGTCATTTTGGTTAGGATGGCAAGGAAACATGAATACAACGGGAGAAAACGCAGGAGGGTGGAAAGCTCATATGACTCAGGATGTTGGAGACCAGGCTTGGCAGCAAAACCAGGAAATATGTTCTTCATCTGGCAAGAAGAGGCTGCATATATTTGAAATCACTGGCTGGATGGAGTGAAAAAATTGTCCAGATTTAGACGGAGAATTGGGAGGGGGACGAGGTGTGGCAATCCTCCCCCTACGTTTTGCTTTGCATGTTACATTAGGGCAGCAATATTCAGCTTCCCAAACATTATATGTGATAGGCAGAAATTATAGAACTTTGCTTTAATCTTCTCAGAATACGATTTTTATTTAAAACCCTTCTTCCCCACCACAATTTTCCTTAGGTATATGTGAGAGAAGAGGTCCACCCAAAAGTTAAATTGCAAATAATTTACAATCCACTTAAATTATCTCTGGTCTCTGCTTTAACTTCAAGTGCTTGGTGTCTCCAAATTTTCTTACAATGATTAGATGGGAAGGGTCACATTTGAGGTTAAAAAATCACAATGTAAAGTAGTAGTTATGAACAATATAAACTAATCAACACTTTCTACTGTTAGAACTCCTAAGTCCTTTCTCTTCTAAGTAAATAGACTAGTAGTTTTTTTCTCATTTTTAAACTGAATGGCTATGTTTTTACCATAAATGTTTCATAGATAACTCCCTAAAGCATATATTTGTACATATTTATAAATGTCAATTTTTTTCTCAGTATACTATGGAAAACATATTGCTCATTCATATTAACCTTTGACTTTCAATTACCTTGGCTTAAAATATTTTGCAATTTGGAAATACACACAAACGTACCTTGCTAGCTCAGCTCAAGGAGAAAGTAAGAGAAATTCATAAAAACAAAACATTTTCAAAACGATATATTATTACATATAGTCACTGGAGACATCGCACAGACATACTATACTTCAGTGGTTTTCAAATATGTTGGTCTCAGGATACCTTTAATAAAATTATTAAAAACTCAAAATAAAATCTTTATGTGGATTATATTAATATTTACTGAAATAATACTGAGAAAGTTTAAAAATATTAATTACTTCATAAAAAACAAATTTCATGTTAACAGAAATTATATTACTACAAAAAAATAACTGTTTTCCAAAAACAATTAGTGAGAACACTGGCACTGTTTTATATTGTAGCAAATCCTTTAATACCTGGCTAAAAAGACAGATCCTTCTATCTGCTCTGCATTCAATCTATTGCAGTATCACATGCCATGTTGCTTCTAGAAAACCCCACTATAAACTTGTGAGAGAATGAGAATAAAGATGTAAGTAACATCTTATTATTATTTTTATGAAAATAGCTTAGACTTCATAAATCCCTGTGAAAGGTCCTGGGACCCCCCAGGGTTCCCTGGAGTTCACTCTAAGAACTGCTGCTTTATAGAGCTGTTTGTCACATTATAAACTTACATGTTTCCATGCCTTCATCATCATCATCTACCGTGGGTTTATCATAAGACTTGTCAATGGCAGCTCTGAAGCTCTCATTGCATCCTCTTCCTCTGATTATCCGTGGCCGTGGGCGATGGAAAGGGATGTCCCCATTCAAAGTCACCTCAGCGACTGCTGTCTGCAGGCTCTCTAATGAACTTGACTTCTTCAGACCCAGGGAAGGTCCCACATCTCTGCTGGGGGAGCCTTGAAGGTTTACAAAAACAAATGTTAGCTAGAATTAGTGGTGAAAATTACATTCCTGAATACCTATGAATTGTGGAAAACATCAGAGACATCAACAAATTATTCATTCAATGAGGAGGGGTTCTAAGATGTGGATGGAAAGGTATAAAAAGTAAATAAAGCAATAGAGACTAATTTTTATTTTTCCCAAACATATATTAAATGTTGTCTATTTTCTCTATTTTTATTAAGAAAAATTCTAAGTTACTAGTTTCCATTTTTAGCTCAACAGAGGAAATTTTTGTAAATCATTTGCTCCAAATTATGTAAATAATTTGAAAGAACCAGAAAAACCCAGAAGCTCACTTGAAGAGCAGAAATGATAAGAAGGCTAAGGGAAGTAACCAAGAGTATCTTTTTAACTTAACTGAAATCAGTTTTGACAGTTTAAAATTATTTACAACAGCAGTTAAAGTTTCCTATCAATGAGCTTCATTGAGTCTCTTCCTCGTTATGGTGCAGGTTCACACAACTCATAAGAGAGGACAAAAGACTACATGTCACCAATACCATTAGGGCACCCTGACACCAGATGGAAACCTAATTCTGGGTGACATTAACATTCTGTGGGAAGCTCTGAACAGAAACAAACTACATATGGGCTCTCTCTGCAGCGGTTCTCAACCTGTGGGTCGCGACCCCTATGGGGGTCGAACGACCCTTTCACAAGGGTCGTCTAAGACTATCGGAAAACAAAAAGATACTTACATTACGATTCGTAACAGTAGCAAAATTACAGTTATAGAGCAGCAATGAAAATAATCTTATGATTGGGGGTCACCACAACATGAGGAACTGTATTAAGGGATCACAGCATTAGGAAGGTTGAGAACCGCTGCTCTTGAGAGAAGTAGAGGAGGAGAGATAAAGAGCTGATGTGAGGACTTACACCTCTAGGCCTGGGAATAGTATCTGCTTGAGAAACAAGTGATGAACAGAAGGAAGAAGGCTTAACAGTTATCAAAAAAATTTCAGTAAGTTCGCAGGGGAGAATTCGGGGAATTGAAAATTTGGGTCTATTTCTTGAGGATCTAGGGCAGAAAGGCGTGAGATAATACCACTAGCACCAAGTTTTAGAAGGCAATTCAAACAGATTTTCTTGAATTAGGTAAGGCAGGCTCATCTATTACTGCCTGACCTGGGACTCAAAGATAGACAAATTTAGCCTCTAGATGACTGAAATACCAGCTTTGCACTACCACTTGGACAATCCAGGTTATAGAACTAGTTCCTCACTTATACTGTTAAAAAGTCAGGTGCAAAAAAATGGGAGGGTAGGAGAGACTAGACAATTTATCTCCATGTGGGGTCATTAGCCCATATACTGATCTACGTGGGGTCATCAGCCCACATATTGATCAATAATTAAGGAGTAGCCTTGCATATTATCATCTAGAAGACACATAGCTATGACACAGGCTTTCCATGGCTCAGCGTGTAAAACAATAAAAACTAAATTGAGAAAGTCAAAACAAAAATTATCTTTTTAAGATTTATTTACATTACATCTTTCATTTAATTATCACAGCAGGGTAGCAGTTTTAAGTCAGAATAAATATGTTTAAAATGTAACAGGCAGAAAAGCAGACAGATGAGTCTAATGAAGAAATAATTTTCCATAAATTATTGTGCTTGGGAGAAAAAGGCAATTTATTTAACTTTCTCAATGCAGGGTTCTATGTATTTGATTATTTATTTTATGGACAAAAAAAATCATATAAACTGTATCTTTCTAGGATAACCAACCTTACTTTTTCTCTTGATAGCACTATAACTTTTGACAAGTTCATGTTGTAAATACCCATAAGAGTCATGTCACAGGAAGGAAAATGAATTTTGATCCAAAGAACTGAACAAAAAGTAAGAAATCAAGGAAGTAAAGAGAATGGGAGCAGATCATCCCTGGGCACAGACATCTACCTTTATATATCCTAGAATTAGTATTGGGAAGATCTTCTGAATAAATCATTCCTATCAATTTTCATAACTTACTAGCTACATTTGGGTTCTATACACATTTATAAGACAAATACTTGGTGCTTTCTTAGGTTCATGAAGGACCTGTGTATGTATATATGTATATATGTGTGTATATTTATTTCATCTATCGCCAATAAAGATTTCATGCGTCTGGTAAAAATGATCATAAAAACATCATTGATGTATATTAAGCTTTTCTTTATGAAAAGTTAGCTGAGATTTGGCTTAATGTTCTTAGAGCCCTAAAAGTTTTAATAATGAATTTCAGAAATAGCATGACTATTAAAATAAATGTATACATGTATATAAATTTATATGTATATATAAGTGTACATGTATATAAATATATGTAATTATTAAAATACATAAACAGGCAAATCTGGGAAGAAAAACAATGATGAAGGTATAACTTAATAAGCAATAGATGTTTTGTAAGTGTAATTCAGAGTTTACCTATTATTTCTTCTAAATTTGTAATACTGTAAAATAACATTTTGGCAAACTGTTGATAATTATTGATGGTGGGTATTAAGTATATGGGAAGTCATTGGGTGTATGAACTATTGTCTATGTTTATATATGGTTGAAATTTTTCATAATAAAATGTTATACGAAAAGTCAACATCTGTAATTTGTGACTCTGTAACAGGGATCAGCAAACCATGGGCCAAATCTAACAAATTCTTTTGGAACACAGCCATGCCGATTTGTATACATATATTCTATGGCTGCTTTCACACTACATCAGAATTAAGTAACTGTTATAGAGACTGTCTGGTCGCCAAGGCCTACGTAAATATTTACTATCTGGTCCTTTACAGAAAGTTTGCTGACTCTTGAGTTGTAGCATAGATATCATACATTTAAGTACTATATTTGGCAAAAAAAAAAAACTTTAACAAAGGTTTTGCTAAGTAATATATTAAGATGCCTGCATGAGCATTACTGAGATCCTAATATTAAAAACTCAGCATTTACTAGCAATGAAAACCGAAATTTTGTTTCTCTATTAAAGTATGGGCAAAAGATTAGCTTTATTCACACACAAAAATGTCAATGTATTTTAATCTTAAAATAGCATTTTACAGTCATTAGGATATTTTGTTTATTTGTTATATTAAAGGATGAAACCATTACAAACCCCAATTCTCTTTTATTCCTATTCTCTCTTTTCTTTCAGAAAGTAGTTACCCCAAAATATCATATAACATTCCTAAATCCAGAAATACAAGGGAAATCATAATCAAACTATTTTCCCTAGGTCCATTTGTCTATTCCTACCTACTAATATCCCTCTCACTGAGAAAAAAAAGTCAAGGATGTCTTTTGTAAGGGAAAAAGGAAATGGAAATCAAATTTCATTATGAAAGGCTTATGGCTAGACAGGTGATCTATGCTAAAAAGCCACTATGACTATACCCAAAACCTTTGGACGAAACTGTGAAATCATGATAATCTTGACAATTCAAATAAATGAAGAAAAGAAAAAGAACCCAGAAAATTTAGCATCTATGTAATAATTTTTTGTCCCAAGTTTCTCCAATTTAATTTGGTAGAATAGATTGCACATAGTGCAAAGGAAAAAAAAATGATCTTCATATCTAGGATCTAATATGTTAAAACACCATGTAAACACATGATTCAATGAGATTATAAAATTTGCCTTCTCACCATAAAAGTTATTTAATATCTTCCTTTAAAATCTGGATATCCGTATGATTCTTTTTAATCACATAAATTGTTCTTTTCCTTGTAGTAGTAATGAGTTGGTTAAATTGAATACTTTCCTTAGTTACCTAATTGGCATAGTATATAAATTCATATTCTTTAACCTCAGCAGTTCCATTTGGCTTCTAGGAACATTAATTTGGACACATGTTACTTCTTTAAAAACACTGAACACTAATAACTCCAAAAACTAGTAACTAATTTACATATGTGAACTATCAAAAAATGTTTTTCTTCAGCCCTGTTTCAAAAGCTCAATGAATTTTATGTTTGATGAGAGAAATAACTACTTACTAAGGGCTGAGGCTACAGTTCATTGGCTTCAACTACAGTTAATCCTATGATTTATTGGGTGTAATTTTTTTTTTTTTAGCTGAGCCATCCTGCCACCTGTTGGCAGTCAGTGGCTACTCAGCTCGGGCCGGGACTTGAACCGCTGCTGCTCAGAGCTCAAACTCTTGAGTGAGCTCTTAACCAACTGAGCCACTCGGCCGGCCCCTATTGGGTGTAATTTTTACAATATATCTTTTACTCTACAGAATGTGGAAACTTCAACCATGTCCACAATAATCTTTACATATGTGTGTAGGATACAAATTTTTCAAGCAGGATAAAACTAATTACTACTGAAGGTTAAAAAGGTGATTTGAAGTTAATTAGTGGTAGCGATGTAACTACTACATCATCCTGGATCTAGAATAATTGAAACACTATTCCAAACTAATAATAATAAATCACAAATGCTCAGTTGTACAAAGAGCATTATTTTAATTACACATAAAAACTTTAATTATTTTCATAAAATAATATAAATAAAATATACTATAATGCAAACCCCAGTTCAATGTAATCCATTGTTTCTATGGAATGATTTAGGAAGCATTTTAGAAGCAAGTCCCAAATAGTTAAAACAAAACAAAAACAAACAAACAAGAAAACCCTTTAAACAGGTTCACAAAGTTATGATAAGGAGCCATTTATATTGTATAGTCTAATTCAATGTTAGGTAACTATGAGCTAATTCTTGCATTCAATAAAAAAAACCCCTAGCTTGAGCTCTGAGCAACAGCAGTTCGAGTCCAGCCCGAGCTGAGCAGCCACTGAGCTGCCAACAGGTAGCAGGATGGCTCAGCTAAAAATAAATAAATAAATAAATAAATAAATAAATAAATAAAAACCCAAAAAACTAAGGTTTTCTGAGTGACTAATGATAGCAATTACTGGACATTGTCCCTCAGTGAAAAATATTTACTATTACCCTTCAAATGAAAGTCACCTCTTTAGGAATCTTTTATTGGATGTTAATCTAGGCATCAAATGGATTAAGTTAAAAACAAGAGTCTACCCAAGAGATTATGTTTTCAGGATTTTGGTATTTTTTTTCAATTGTGACAAAACATTCCTACACAAATATAATTAAGAAAATCTAGATTGTTTAAGCATTTTGGAATCACTAAATTATATTTCCATTTAGATGTACTACACTGATAAATTTCTTCTAACAGAAAACTTTTTATTTTCTTGTACAATTTTATTTCCTACAATGAAAACATCCGTGCAAGACTGGAATATTTATGTGTACAAGTATTATGATTGGCAGCACTATAATTATGATAAGCTCCTTGGACCACAGTTTCTATGGCAACAGTCTAACGGTCCATTCTTACCTGCATTCTGGTCATCCACTGTACTGAGTTTAGTCTCGTCAGCTACTGTTAAAAGGTAAATGTATAATGGTTAGCCCAGTTAGTCCCACAGCCCAACATGCTTCAACCATTCCCAGATCTCTTCAGTTATGTGATAATTCTTAAGTAATAGTTCATGCAAATAATATGAAAAATCAAGCAAACATTCATAATCAAAAAAGGGGGAGGGAAGCAGTGTCTCCATGCAATATGCCAGTCATTTCATTTCACAGACACGTGTGTTATTTATATGTTAGCATATCATAATTAGGCAAGGCAATGCATTGCCAAATTTGTATTTCACGCATGTAATAAATTAATGCTTTTAGTCTTGAAGTACAGCCACCAGAGAACAACATAAATAAGTTACAGTTAACAAAGGTTTTCAAAATCACTCAATCAGTTTATAGATCTGATTATTTCACTTTTTTTTTTTTTTTGGAGAATTTGGATTTAAGAGACACTATCTGATTGGTGTTTGATTGAACAACTATGGTTAATTTCCTGCTCTCATTTGTTTCAAATACTTTCTACAATTAATATTCTCTCAAAGTATTACTTCAATTAAATGCCTTAATTACCAACACATAAGAGTTTCTATCAAATAAATCTTAAAGAACAGCAATGAAAAAAGATATCATGAAGTAACCAAATTCTAGACATGGATTGAGATAATGATTTCACTCCAAAACTTTTTCTTTTAGTTTAAAAATGCCACAACCAACCAAATACTATTTCAATGAAATTGGTTTTAAACAGCCAAAGTGTTAAACATTTCATTGTTGCAAGTAGATACATGAATATAGCATGATATGCACATGTGTTTGTTTCTTTTCTTAGCAGAAAACATATATATTAACATATTGCACATTTTATAAACATGCTGCTTATGAGAAATATGGTTATCTCAACTCAGAGAAAAACTAATTTTTGCCAAATTGCCACATTTCACATTTATTTTCTCTTGCTCTAAGTAAACAGACATGTGTTTGGGACCATCAATTTTCATCTGAAAGCATCTAAATCTTATTTAGATAAAGATTCATGGAGATTGTACTCACTACCTAAATCCATGCTTTTTGATTTTCGTGTTTTAACGAAATCCAATTGACTGGCATCTGAAAATTGCTTTGTGCGTTTTTCTGACATACTCTGGCGTCCAAATCCTTCTCGTTGAAAAGCAAGAGCTGGATCAACATCAGGACTCAAAGAGCTGGTGTGAAAAGAAAGGTAAACATAAAAATATTTACTAAAAACACAAGACATCCAATTTAGGGAAGTTCATATATACATGTTTGTATGAACGTGTGTATATGTATATTCCTCAGAAATATTTAAACTAAATAACACAAACATAATTCATTAAGAAAAACTGGCTGTACACAGGAAGTGATGGGAAAACATAATACAACATTTACATTTAGTAATTCTTTCTCCAGGTGAGGTCTCTCCTCCTCTATTTCCCTCTCATAGCTTCCTCACTCTGTTTGACCATACATCATTATTTCTAAGTGATGATTAAAAATAAGCCTTATATATTCTAGACATTGGAGTGATTGAATGTTTAAGGAAAACTTTCATATATTAATGTAAATACTGGCAGCAAAAAAGTGACTGTGAACTGAAATCAAATAGAAGTTTTTAAAAGGATATGTTCTAGTCTTCTTGCACACCCTTTGTCTTGTGTTTCAGAAAAGAAATAGCCACCTTTACAACATGTAGTTTCATAAAGATGTAGTTTCTCTGTAACACTTAATCAATGAGAAGATCAACTCAACACATCTTTATTACAGCCTATTCTGTCTAAGGCATTGTGCTGGGTACTAAAATCAAAATAATACATAGGAAAAGATCTCTGTTCTCTACGCATTCCTAGGAAAAATACCAAACCAGAAGGATATAACAGAAGCTGTGGATGCAGAGATGACAGAATAAACAGTTTCGAGAGAGTCAGGAAAAGTATGATAGACTAGATGACATTTGATTTGGTGATACCAACAGTGACTCAAGAAGAGACGATGAAGCATATGGCAAATCCCTGGTAACAGGATATGGTTGGAAGTGTTTTCCCAATGGAAATGGCAGGGGATGACATCAAATCATTCCTACTTGTAAAATCCTGTGAACACTTGTAAGAAGCACTACCAGATGTTCTGAGCACATCCATACAATGAAAATTGTTTTTCTCTGTGCTAGGCACATTGAGAAAATAAATAGGTCTCCTATATCCACACTGTGCCACCTTACCTATCAGGCCAGGCAGGAGAACATCCCTCCACAGCTAACTAAACCTACTAGAAAGTGAGGGAGCCACTTCCGCTATGTCAGCTGAGTTTATGACAGCCTTCCTTATACTTCTGACGGGAAGCAAGCTTCTCAAACCCTTTACGGCTTTATGAGAATTACCTTTCATGTTGGGAAAAGGATAGTGATCTAGTTCGGATATACATCAGAAATTGAGCTGCGAATTACTGTGCATAAAATGATAACTGGCTCTGACAGAATAGTTAAACCAAAAATGGTGAAAAGGAAGACATCAAGGAAAATGTTCTGATGTCACATTAAATGACCTGAAATGTACTGGGCCTATATGTCTTAAAATGCTCAATAAAGAGAATACTAGTTGCCTCATGCATCTTACAAGGCTGATGAGAGAATCCAGTGATGTATGGTGAAAGCCCTTGTAAACTGCAAAGCACTATACAAAATAACTTATTCCCCAATAAAGACTTTCTATCTCAAATTATCAAAGTAATACAAATTATGGTAACAGAAATAGGGTCCTTAAAAACCACACAAAGGAACTAACTGAACAATACTTCTCAATCTTTTCCACCAAATACAGAACAGAGCCCTACGATGAGGCAAGGTAGGTGCCTCGGGCTCAGAATTAAAGGAAGCGCTTGCTCTCAGGGTCATGCAGGTTCAGGGTTGGCACCTGAGAGTGCTCCTTCCGTTTTGAACCCTGGGCACCAATCCTGCTTCAACTTAGTCCTGGCCCAGGTACTGAGAAAAGATGTATCCACAGGAGCTGGGTAGGAGTGTAGCCCAAGGCAAGGAAAAAAAGATTTTTTGTGTGAAACACTATGGTATATCTAATAGTTATTCTGTTTGCATGCTACATGAAATCATTTCAGTTTTAATATACCCTACTTTTCCTAAAAAACTTTGAATTATGACTTCAAAGGATCAGTGCGCAGGAGCATTTGAGTCGGCAGCTGCAAGGCGACAAAATATGATGATCCAGAGAGAAGCAGGGTCATGTTTACCCTGAAGCCTTAGCTGCCCCTTCACACACCACGATGCTTATACACAGTTGATCCTTGAACAACATGGGGGCTAGGGGCGCTCACCCACAACACAGGCAAAAACCCATTTTTAACTTTTGACTCCCCCAAAATTTAAGCTGTCCCTCAGTATCACGGGGGTTTGGTTCCAGGACTCTCCGCGGATAGCAAAATACACGGGTGCTCAAGTCCCCTATAAAATGGTGTACAATAATGCATAGAGGCGGCCCTCCGCATCTGTCCCAACCAGAGACAGAAAACAGTACAGGTATTTAGTGAAAAAAAATCCACATATAAGTGGACCCACAGAGTTCAAACCCGTGATGTTTAAAGGTCAACAATACTTTGTATGTATGTTTAACTATAGAGGACATTATATATACTCATATAATTATATATTGCTTATGCATATTTCTTAAATATATACATATATTATGCTTATATATTATGCTTACATAGTAGTATTCACATACTACTATGCTTACTATACTATTCTTATAATTCCCAGAGCACATACACCCCAATTCAAAAACAGTCCTAGGAGTGAAAAATTAAAGCCCATTTTATGAGAAACCCATAAAAACTATGACCCAATTTGCAATGCTAAACTCTAAAGTATTTTCAATATGATTACTTCTTTTATATATTGAAAGTTGATCTCTTCAACCATTCTGCATATGCATATCAACCCTTTTTTGTAACATGTAGAATATTTTAAAACTTGAGCTTCAATAGCCATCAAATTAGTGAACAGAATGAATTTGAAATACAATTTTAATAGAAATTATTGGTAAACGTTTTTTAAAAGAAATACTCGTATAAATTGCTGTTGCTAATGTTACCTGAAAACCACATATTGTCATACTTTTCAAATTAATTTTATATCCTCTGAAGTTATGTTGTCACTAAAATTAGAATCTGCTGTTTTACTTTTTCCCCTTAAAAACATTGTTAATGTTCTCTAAATCAATTAGTGGATTGAAAAAAATATATTCTATTAGTTAACGAATTAAAAGTTTAGCCATTTGACATATTTAGCCTTCCACAACTGTGCAACGAACAGTAAACATACACAATTTAAAATGTCAAATGAGCTTGTGAGTTAATAAGAGTCTAAAGATAACCAAATATTCTTAAATCACGACATAATTAATCCTTCCCTATCAATATACCCATTAAACTAATTTCAGACTCAATAAACAGTACACTAAAATACTTAAGTTAGACTGCAGGACTGACAGCTGATTCTTAACAGAATGTAACCATATCCTGACCCCCAATGTTATTAAAATTCCAGTTATTAATCCTGTCTTATTGCGCTTTTGTTTTCATAACATTTTCATCAAGGATTAGGCAGATATTGTCAGGCTGGAAAAGCTTACATTTTCTGCTATGCTTCAGAACAGCTGCATTCTTGTTTAGATAACCCCCTATTCATATTCCTTTCCTTGCTCCACATCCCCCACACCAAAATCATGCAAGTCCTCACCATTTTATGAATCCTCTTAGGGAAATTAATGCCACAGGCTATCCCTCTAGTTATTTATTTATTATCACCAATACAGCCCTTTATAAGGCCCCAAACAGATTCCTCTGGCCACCTTCACAATTTCTCATCATGGTGGTGATTCAAAGGCTTTTGGTCCCTAAGATGAACACTGGAAATATCTAATCCTTGCTTTTTCCGTTGTTGCTTTCAACTTTCCAAAAGAGATATAAACTGCAGCAGTAAATACAAAGGCATCTGCGGATTTCCAATGGGATTTTACTTTACACTGTAGCTTCCCCATCTAAGTTGAGCCAGAAAAAAAATGCATTCACAGATAAGCTATTACCATGCAGGCTTGAGTGTAGCTCTATTTTTAAATCCTGTGTTTTCAATAAGAGAATTAAAAAAGAAAAGAGAAAAAAGACAGAGATTGACTTTGCAAGGGTCCCAATAACAGGTGAGATTGTTCTAAGAGAACCTCTGCAGAATTGACAAATAAACGTGCGGTGTTTTTGTGTGTTCGCGGGGGGAGAGGGGGAAGAGGACTGGGGGAGTGATTTACTTTGTTAAGATCAGCACTAAAATGTTAATGCAAATAAATGCCAGTCCCCTGGACTCCTACCTAACATTTGATGTCTGGGGAAGAATAAGAAATAGAAATGTGTAAGTGGTGAAGGAACAATGCTACAACATTTAAATAAAATTTAAATAAAATTTTGCTGATGTAGTCATAAAAAAAAACCCAGGAAGAGGGCAATAAGGAAATTCTGGTATAATGCTTTACATGGTTTGTGTTGTCACTACAACCTTACAAGGTCATCACTAGGTTGCACTTTCCTATTGCTTACTGATATATATAATTACTAGGCATGCAAAGTAAGGTGCACATTCATGGGCCACATATTGGCTCAATAATATCAAAAGCTTTCTTTTATTTTGAAAGATACAGGAGAAAAAAATAGCAATTAGACTACCCCCAAAGTCACAATGCTAGAAGCAAGTACAAAGCATTTGAAAAAGAATAGTTACAGCACTCTTAAAAAACAAAACAAAAAAACAAAACACCTTCCCATTCCCAGAATATATCAACTATTAATTTGGTCAGTCACCTAATTGTGACAAACTCTGACTCACCTTAGGGGTTTGCTTAGAATTTATTTACTTAATAGAAACACAATTCATCAAATTAACATAGATATAAAATAATGAACAGTGAAACTTAACAAATGAATAGGGTTTTGTGCTTAGTAGTTTTGTTGTTATTTTGGCTAAATCATTAAGTCCAGCCTCGGGAAGGCTAAAGCAACTGGGCAAGTTTATGGGGTTGAAGGGAATCTTTTATTAAAAGAGTGATAATTAAGAGAATTAAAACCATGAAAACAGAAAACTGCTATTAAAAAAAACCCCAAGGTTTTTTGGGTCAAGACAGGGGAGCCTGATTAATTGCTCAGTGATAGACCATCTAAACCTGAAATAAGGTGTGAATGCCATTCACTAATGTCTTCCAACCCTGGAGTGTGATCTTACCAATCTGCCGAATCGCTGACTGCGGCCTTAGCCCAGGGACCAGCGTCCGTCATCACGAATCCCACATCATCATGCGAGCTGGAAGATGATTGGTCAGAGAGATGCGGTGGAAGCACTGGTAACCTGTCATCTTCAATAATGACAGTGTCATCTTGGGGCATGTTCACTGTGGGGGACAGCTGGTATTTACCTGCCCAGTAGAAAAAAAAAAAATTCTAGACTCGCGCTATGTGTTATGTTTATTAATAGTAATACTTTGCTACATCAGACAAAGTCTACATTTCCAAACATCTGTTCAACCTGGTAGAACAAAATAGAATTAAGCAAACTTATTTTTCATAAATGAACATCAAGTGGAGACCTTAAGTCTATTCCTTCCTCTGCCACCAGCGCTATGTGGGCAGAGTATTCAATTTCTCTGGGTTTAAGATTCCCAAAGCCAGGGATGATCTCCAGAATGTCTTCTAATATGAAAACGCTACAGTTTCTAAGTTGTGAAAGTCCCTTGAAAAAATTTACCAGGAAATGTGGAGGAAAGCCCTGCAGACTTATGTCAATCATTCACCCATTCATTCACATAGCAAGTGTGTAAGAAAGACTTAATCTCTGCCCCTAAACAGCTCACACCCTAGAGAAGGAGATAGACATGTAAAAAGTGATCATTGATTGGCTCTGTGAGTGATGTGCTAAAAGCACTGTGGCATTCATTAGTGCTGACATTGCCTGGGTAGCTGGACACAGAGGATGTTGGGGAATCTTCACAAAAGTTAAAATCAGAGTTGGGTTTTGAATGATGAATAGGTCTTTTCTGCTAGAAGAAATGATGACATTGATTTGAGACATCGGCAGCGCCATCATTAAATGCATGATGGAGAAATGCCCACAGTACATTTAGGTGACACTTCAAAGATGAATACGTGCAGAACCAAGGCCTTGGGGGAAGATGGCAGAGCAAAGATTAGAATCTGAAGGCAGCCTGAGGTTTGCAGGTCAAGACAGCGGAGCCTGTACATTTTGATTTATTCAATTAGAATATAGTGTTCTTGGTAAGGAAAGACCCAGAACTGTCCACACTGATTAGTTTCTTCCAGGAATATCTGGTCAGGTTCACAGATCAACATGACAGGCATTTCCATTTCTTGAGACAAAATTATGATTCAAGACTCTGAATCCTTAAAGATAAAGCTGGAGTCCAAATGATGCCATCTTCCTCCCCCAAATGCCTACAGTGCTTCTGGCTTGCTCCCCAAAACTGGTGCCATACATCTTCTGAGCAGTAACTGTGGACAAAACTTTTGTGCCCATGAATACCTGGTGGGAGGCCATCCTCACAGATTATGCAGGCCCACTAGCCCAACAGAGCAATGTAAACTAACAATTTCCCTGTCACCTTGCAGGAAGAGGGAAAAACTTTCATTTTAGGTCCAATGTCCCAGTCTGTTAAGTCAGCTGTACTGGTTCCTACCCAGATGAAAATGATGGCTGCACTTAACCAATATGGCCACCATTTTATACAGGGTGCACTTTTTCTTTATTAAAAATTATTTTTTGTAAATGGCACAACAGCAATGTATAGAAAAGTTTACTAACATTTTAGCATCAGTCTTAGATCTAATTTTAAGGTAAACATTCACAAAAATGTATAAATCATCATTTTTGTTTTAACACTATTTTGGAAAATTGGGGATGGCATTTGTAAGCTCGAAGGATTTTTTAAAATATATTTCATTCTAGACATTTCAACAATGAAGCAAAAATTAAGTTGATATATATCTTTTCAGGACAACCCACAAGAGTAAACTTGCTATAAATTTCAAATGCATTCATTATTTAGTATGAGCTACTCTATTATAGAAACACTACATGTTCACTGAAACCTCTACTCAGCATTTGATCAAGAAAACATGCTATTTTGATTTTAAATGCATCCTTTTTGATATGAAAACTAGCAACTTTTTATGAACACTTATGATAAAAATGTAAATCAAATTTAATACTTAATCATTTCCTTTTCCTGAATTCAAGTCCTCATATATTCTACTAGAGTTTTAGAATATTAGAAGACAGAAATCTGTTCAATAAAATATCATTCATAAATAAGGTCAGACATTCTAGCACTATTACTCAAAGAAATATTTCCTTCTCAGAACATACTTTTTTTCCCCAAAAGTGCACAGAATGACAAAACCAGAATTCTCCCTGACAGCTCACCACCACCAAAGCACATATCACAGCATTAAGTGCCAATTCCTTACACAGGCAAAATTTATTGGATGGAAATAGTATGGTGTAATTATAGTGCATCACTTCTTAACACAAAACTAAAACTCTTGGATTTACACTGTATATTTTGAGAAATAGCCTAATAAGCAATATGGAGCACTGAATGGTTCTTCGTATGACAATCCTTTTTTTGTAATACGTAGTTTTGAGTAGAGACATTGTACCTTAAGTGATACAAAATTTTATATATACATAAATGGCAAGAAATGTCCCTAATAGTAAGATAACAATTTAGTTTTGTTTTCTCTCACCCATGATTCTGGAGGGTAATATCTTAAAAGATTTGAGAATTCGAATTTTCCACTTCTTAACATGCTGGCTAGGAATATAGTTTTGCAATCTGGCTCCAGAAATATACTGAGGGTAATGGTTGACTAAATTATCTGACTACATATTGTACTAAACTCCACCTAGTCAATACCTCTTAATTATGTTTGCTGGTACTTGGCACATCATAAATGTGAAACCTACAAAGGATGACCTGAGAAGCCTTTCATCTGTGTTTTGATGGATAAATATCCCTTTTTCCTCAACTAGTTAACCAACAATTACAAACTAAGATTTAAACCAGTCCATATCTTTTAGAGGAGTGAAACAATGAGATTCACAATGACTGTTTACTAAACATTTATTCATCGGTACATTTACATAGAAGGCAATGCCATGCATGACACTAAAAACAGATGAAATGAGGACAAATTTTCCAGTGATTGGACTCACAATAAAAACATTAATGTTCCATTTTTCTATGTTGGATTTCTAACAAGATGAAAATAATATAAACATAATTATTTTTTTAAAAACACAAATGTATGAATATAAAAGCTACTGAGATTAAATTCTAAAATGGATACAACAGATTACAATTTTGCTTTGAAACATAAAATTTCTTCAGATTAAAACGCGGGAAAAAATTTAAGGCTCCACACTCCCAATGTCAACTTACGATTTTATGAAGTGAACGTGTTGATTAAATTAATTAATATCTTAATATTGTTATTATTATTATCATTATTAAGACAGTTCAACAATTTGTAAAATATTTTTAAGGCTTTTAAAAGAAAGAAATCCTATGTAGGCTCACTACAGATTTCTTTTTGATGAATGTCCAGGATGACACTTTTAAAATCCACGATAGTGGAAAGTCTGCCAATATGGATGACATTTGCAGACATCTTGCCTTTGGTCACAAATCTGGCTGACCCCACCAAAAGCTAAGGCAGTGGACCAGGTGTGAGTAACGCGGGACTCACGACTTGCAAAAATATACACTGTAAGGTTGGTTCAGAAGCACAGCTCTGAGGCTTCAGTCTTATCACTTAATTTCTTTGGTCCATAGCTCCCCTGACCAGAAGACAAGCAGGTTGGAATACACGATTTCTAAGGTTGTTTTCAAAAATTTTTAGATCACAGTGACTGCCAGAATGAAATAGATTCTGGAGACTAACGCCTTTTGCTTCAAGATGTAGATACTTATAATTGAGGTTAATCAAGAATGAATGCCACAAATTGTGTGATCTCAGTAATCCCCAGAGAGGGCTCTTTTTAGAAATAGGAAATAAAACCAAAATAAAAATCATCATGTGACCCTGAGACTTTGTTCCTTTATCTGTTAAGTGGGAAAGTGTGGCCAATGATATGTGGCATCCTTCCAACTCTAACATCTCTGGCATTTTTTTATGAACTTTTTAGAAGCTTCTCTTCTGGGACATGTTCCCACAGATATGAATCAGAAAGGCTCAAAGCTTCTTTTGGTCTAGAGTCCTCCATGAGGAAAATTCTATGTTAAAATTCACTGTTTGCATAAAATGAATCATTTCTTAATGTAATCCGATGGAATTTCAATACAAATTTCTACTTGAATCACAGCAGATCATGAAGTAAATGCCACCACCTCTACTAGTGTCTACAAAGGAGTTATTCTAAATGTATAGAGGATAACCATTAACCAAACAAGATCTGTCTGAGGAATTTCCACGAACCTAGATACTATGCAAACCAATAAATACTATTACTATTAAATTAGGGTAACAGAAATTCAGTGCTCTCATATCTTATATTTGGTACCCTGTTTCGGTATTTTGTTGCAAGGTAACATCTTTTGTAGAGTTTCTAGCTTCAAGTGGAGACTGACTTAACAAACAGTATTTGTTTGTTAGGGCCAATGGTATTGGAATAGAAACTGACAAAGACTGAGGAATTCTCAAATTTTCAAAGCTCAAGATAAATCAAATTATGTATAGGCATTTCTCAGGGCAAAACTATACGGGATCCCCTAGTTTCCAGGACAACATTAAAAAAAAGAAACCATCATCTTGTTTCTTAATTGTCTTAAGAAACAATGATCATTCAACATCTACTTGGCCTACCATCAGGGTCAAGAGCCTGCCATCCCCCAGCTCCAAAGTGTGTGCACAGTACATCACAAAGCACAGAGCTGGGAAGACGTTACTGCCCTGAGTGAAGCATCTGGAGTTGTAAAAGTCCATTACATCTCTAGCAGAGGGAAGGGAAAACAATGTCAACTACAATGCAAACTTAAGCAAATGAATGAAGCTACAGCTAACGAAACCTAGAGCAACAGACTATAAAAAAAAAATGAAGGAATCCTCAACCCATATATACAGCACACTAGATGAATTTGGGGGCAGGGGGGGAGGGTTGTTTGGTATTTTTTTTTAGTTTTAGTTTTTCGCCTTCCTCTGAAGCTTCAGGGATTGGAGGCAGGACGCAGGTTACAGGAACTGGTGGACCAATGGTCTGATTCAGTATGGCAAATCCTATGTTCCTATAATAAACGGGAAATTACAGCATATCACTTTGTATGCACACATATCCAGGGACACATGCACTCTCTTTCTCTTTCAAGGGGACCGAATTTTCATCAATAAAGAAGTATTTAACAAAGATAAAGCTTTATACCAAATTCAAGAAAGGATGGAAAATCCACCAGCAGCAAAGAGAGTCAATCATTAGTAAGCAAAGATTAACGTGATAAATTATGTGTAGTGCCTGTCACCTAACAGGTATACGGTATCTTTACCATCCGTCTCTTACTTTCATTTATGCCAAGGAGGCAAATGGAAAAATGTTGACAAAATAAAACTACAGTTGGCATGTCTAAATTCTATGTGTGACAAAACAAGCAACAGAATTTAGCAATTTTTTTCCAAACTATTGTAGAGAGCTAGAGGGGTTAGAGGAAGAACAACAGAAAATTCTAGCAGTCATGTTTATGTATTTTTCCTACCATGCCCAGTAGAAAGTTCTTTGAAGGCAGAAATTGTTCCTATTCACCTTTGTATCTACAGCAAACGTATATATACAATGTATTGCCAATAGCAGGCTTTCCATAAACATCCACTGATGAACGAAATAAATTCTTCCTCTAATGGAGCTTCATAATGGAAACTTGAATAGTATTAAATCTATACTAAATGTACTCAGAATGGAGTAAAATTTAGGGTTTTACTTTTTATTAGACCTTTGCAAAACAAAACAGCAATAAAAGTGCTTTATGTCAGGTGCTATTTTAATCAGACCTGCTTCCTGTGTTTTAAATTTGAAAACGCTCCCAACCTAATCCCAAGATGAGCAACACAGTCCACCCAAAACTCCTATGGCAAAGCAAGTCTTTATTAACAGAATCTGTGAGTAAAAAGCTGCGCCGCTGCAGAACAAGTCCTAATGACCTCATTACCCACTGGGGGCCATGCAGACAGCATGGTGCTGAATCCAAACAAAGGATGCAAAAAAACTCATTTCAGGGTTTTAAAATGGAGGCTTTGAAAAAGTAGAGATGCAATTAAAAAATGGTACCATCCTATTAAGTGCAAACCAAATAAATGTGACTATCTCATAAGCATGTATGTATGTACATTCATATTTTTCCTCTCCCTCCAAATGGTGCTACTGTGACTAATATGTAACATTAGAATCCTTCTTGTTATAAACCACTAAATTTTGATTTTTTTTAAAAAAACTTGGATTCACTTATTATCTCAAACAAGCTGAGAATATCTTGATCACTAGGAATATTTTTATGTGATCCCTTTTTTTCTTCCCACGTTATAGGATCTAAAACTTACTTAACAAAATCAATGTATTTATTTACTCTATATTAACACTTCCTGAATGATTATAATGAACCTGGTCTTTTTCCTCTTGAAAACCTGGGCCTCCTTTACATTAATATTACATTAACAACCTCTCTGTGAGCCACTTAAACATAAAAGTAAGATGTGATAAACAGGTTTACCTGACTCACCCATTATCCTACTGAGTGCAGCATTTCTTGTGGGTGATTCATCGAGCCCCTCAATCCCACTGTAGAGAGAGTGGGAAATTCTTCGTTCTCTGTCATCCAACACTGTTTCAATGGGCAGCTCAGGTCCAGAGGGGCTCCCAGGTGACTTCGCCTATAGAGAAAAAGGGGCAAGGTAAAGTCAGGACTGCTGGCCCATTAGCAGCATGGGGGGATTATAACAACTTGCCCAAGGCCTGCATCCAACTGGGTACCAAATGAACTAGAACTTTTCACCCTGTACCAAAATAATTTGTGATGACAGCTCTGCCTAATGACCAACTTTCTGTGCCACTTTACACTGTGCCTCCCATGAAGTTCTGTCAGATTTCCACCATTGGAGGAAAAAATATGTATAGTAAAAGCTTCTTTTTTTTCTTTTTTTTTTTAAGACTTATCTTGGTTATTTTTTCAGTTTGACTGTTAGTATCTATTGGAAGTCAATTTTAGTTATGGTTTAATTCAGAATTCTTCATGAGATGCTCCTCTGCATAAGGCATGCTTTATCAGAACGGAAACTGGAACTTAACTATACTTTTATACCTACAGTATGGAAGTACCCCTAGCAATTAGCACGCCTTTGGATGTGTGTGCCCGTAGAATTACTATCCACTCCAATGACCACCTGTCAGTTCAGGTATCTTGAAAAATATATTAAGCTTAAAGTTCTCCTGCTAGACGTGAGGAATAATCATCTATTCTCTCATTGTAATCATAAGCATGAGATAGTGAATGACTGAGAAAAGCACTTTAATAGTATACAAACAGTACAGAAGGGCCAAATACTCTAATGAAGCAGGCAAAGGTGTGTGTTTCACAAACACATACAATCTACTAAATAAGCCAAGAATATAGGTCCATTTCCATCACCATGAACAAAAAACAGCTGTGCCCCTGTAGGTCATATTCTTCCTAAAAATAATATGAATAAAAAAATCCTAGGTTAGTAAGGCCTTGAAACAAATCACACTGAACTATGATCCTCCCGATGTGGGCTCCGGTTAATCCCATGGACTAACATCTTACGACATTTTGGGGCTGGATTGCAGCCAGAGGCCTAGAGGGTGTGGGGGGCAGAGGCGACCCACAGCACAGCGAAGCTGGAGACGAGACCGCACATTCCAAACAGACGAAAGCACAACTGTGGCAGTTCCTCCGCCTGAACAAATTATTACTTCTGTTAGAAGCTATCATCTGTTTAATATAAATGAGATATTTAATGAAGTTCAGGATTGGAGACTTATCTCTCCCAGTTTGATAAGCACTGGGGAGATTTAATGCATCGAAGGGTCAACACAATTACAATCGGAGGCACGTCCAACTGCAGGAGAATAATAAACTTGCAGCGCTGGTGAATTAGACTCAATAAGGTTTAAATTGTGAAATGAGAATTTGTTTTATTCGTTTTTGGGTTTTTTTGTGTGTTTTTTTAATTGTAGATTACAACTGACAGCTTTACTGAAATGTAAATGAAATATTTCAGGTCTCTGATGTACAAGAATAAAAGAACAATTTTTGAAAGAATACTACGCCTAAATTCCAAGGTACTTTGGGGAAGTGAAAACAAAAACAAACAAAACAAATATTCTATACTTTTAAGAACAAGTATGTTTCAATTTTTAAAGTAAGTACATACATTAAAGAGACTTGCTATACACGTCTCTATACACAAAAGCTGCCTGCTATACAATGATTTATTTTAACATAAGCTATCCTCAAGTTTGCTTCACAAATACATTTAATTGAACTATATAACTCTGCAATTTTCTAAATGATAAAATCTTCATAAAAGTCATTCATGAGAAATCCCTAAATATCCCAAGAGGCTATTTTAGAATTTTAAAAAGTCAAATAAAACTTTGATTTATAAAAATAGTACATGCAGGCTTTCTAGAGAAAAAAGAATAAGATGCCTGTTCAGATAGAACCTTGCACTGGACCATGTTCCTGGGAAACAGTGCACACCTCCCGCCTCCCTACCCATGCTTAATTTGCATCTCAAAAGACAGATTTAAATGAAGACATTAATGGCCTACTACATAAATATTTAACAGAAGATACAATGCCTTTTAATTTCTTTTAAAAAAAACTGATTTTAAATCTTTTGATGGTGTGTGTGTGAGTGTGTGTGTGTGTGTCCGTCTGCCCGGGCACTAGAAAACAAGTATAAGCAAATATGTCAGAGTGGCACCCAGAGGAGGAGGCAGAGCAAGGTCATCCTAGAAGAGCAGACCAGGCCTATAAGCTGTGCTCCTTCCAAGCCCTTCCATCTCCTTATGTAAAAACTTTATTGCAATTACAAAGGGAATTGGTTGTGTTTTTTTTAATTTCTTTTTTCTGAAATTTCATTGTTAGTATACAGGAATGCAATATACACTGATTTTGTATCCTGGAACTTAACTGTATTTGTTTATTGTTTCTAATAGTTTTTTGGTAGAGTCTTTAGGGTTTTCTGTATAAAGAATCATATCATGTATAAACAATTTGATGTCTTCATTCCCAATTTGGATACCTTTTATTTCTTTCTCTTGCCTGACTGCTTTGGCTAGGACTTCCAATACTAAGTTGAATAACAGTAGTGAGAGAAAATACCTAGGAATAAACTTAACAAAGGTTGTGAAGGACCCATACACTGAAAACTACAAGACATTATTAAAAGAAATTGAAGAAGTCACAAAGAAATGGAAAGATATTTCGTGTTCATGGACTGGAAGAATCAACATAGTTAAAATGGCCATACTACTGAAAGCAATATACAGATTTAATGCTATCCCTATCTACATCCTAATGGCATTTAAAAAAAAAAGAAGAAGAAAAATAGAAACGAAAAAATCATCAGATTTGTATGAAATCATAAAAGACTGAAGAGCCAAAGCAGTCCTGAGAAAAAAGCACAAGGCAGAGGTATCACACTTCCTAACTTCAAATTATACTACAAAGTGACAATAATCAAAACAGCAGGGTAGTAGCAGAAAAAATAGACACACAGACCAATGGAACAGAACTGATATAACCTAAGAATAAAGCCACACATACATGGGCAGGTAAATTTTGACAAAGAAGCCAAAAACATATAAGGGGGAAAAGAAAGCCCCTCAATAAATGGTGCTGCGAAAACTGAAAAGCACATGCAGAGGAAAGAAACTAGACTTCTACCTGTCACCATATACCAAAATTAACTCAAAATCAAAGACCTAAATATAAGACCAGAAATAATAACTTGCATAGAGGAAAACATAGATACTAAAGTTATGGACCTTGGTTTTAAAGTAGATTTTATGAACTTGACCTCAAAGACAAGTGGAGTAAAAACAAAAATAAATGAATGGAACTATATCAAACTAAAAGGCTTCTGCACAGCAAAATAAACCATCAACAAAGAAAGAACCAATTGAATGGCAGAAAATATTTGCAAACAACACCTCCAATAAGGGGCTAATATCCAAAACATAAAAAGAACTCATACAACTCAATAACAATTCAACTATAAAAATGGACAGAGGTCCTGAACAAACACTTCTCCCAAAAAGACATACAAATGGCCAACAAATATAT